GGGCCTTTTTCACTCTCAGTGACTGAGAAGTCAGGTGACCCAGGGGGGGTTCCATACTCTAAGTCTGCAGCCCTTGTCTCAAAACTGGGGAGGAAGCACCAAGAGTGATGGGAGGAATGTCTCCAATTCCACAGTAGGAAAGTAAAGAGTGCAGGCTTTGGGGTCAGAGAAGCCGGGCTTCAGATCCCACCTTTACCATCTGGAGCTGAATTTAACACTGAGATGAAACCCAGGCCGGGGGTTGCAATGAGGATTTAAAGAATGAATAGGTGTGCATGGGTAGCCGGATGTCTGTAACAGTAAGCCTCCAGTGTATTCTAACAGTGGTCATTAGAATTTTAGTTATTGCATATTATAGCCTCCAAAGTACTGTTTCTAAAGAAAAAAGGCTTCTGAAATGACTGATAGTATGGTGCTAAGTAAAAAATAAAGTTCACAGAATGATTTTAATTATGCATACAGCTATTCTCGCATGTGTTTCTGGGTAAGATGGTATTGTTAGGGCAGACATTTAATTTGCCTCCCACCCCACCAAGGTCCTCAGGGGATATTTTCAGGAAAACATAAAAATGAGGGAAATGTGGGTTTCATGCTCAAAGCTAGGCTGGTGTCATGGAGATGCCAGAATGTTGTGCCCTTGTGCTGCTGTGTGCCGACAGGGCTGTGTTGGAGCCCAAGGGCAAGCTGGACTCCTGATTCTCCTCCTAGGAAAGAGCAGCAATACAAACACAGGGACATGGTGGAAAGACAACTTTGTTCTAGCAAAAATGGGTAGGATGCGTTAAATAACGTGATCAAAAACTTTATGAAATAAAACATTAAAGCATTACCTGTGGGATACCAACAAGACAAACGTATTCATCCACAAAAACATTCAATTTCCAAAAGGTAGATTCCTAAAGCCCAGTACCGTTAGCTAGAATAAACAACCGCAATCTCTTACCCAACTCTCTAGAACATTCTTCTTGAAATGAAAGGAAGACTAGAAATATGACCATTTGGAAAATGACAACCAAAAGGGGAGATAAAATGATAGGAGTTTAAATTTAGAACAAAACCCACAACAAATCTACAGTAAAATATTTAACATCTTGAGGAAATGGATGTCTTTCTAGGAAAATCCAAATGAAGTTGAAAATAAAGAATGAGTCCAAGATTTCTGATTGGCCATCAGGTGGCTGATGTTGCCATCGCTGGGAATCTCGAGAGCTTGGGGGTCCAGGTTGGGAGAAATCTAAGGGACATCCTGGTGGATGCCTCCAGCCAACCGCTGGCTACACGAGGCTGAATCCCCAGCACATCATCTGGAACGGAGATGAAGATTTGTGGCCATCACACACAGCTCGACCTGGGATTCTTAGGGGAATGGCTGAAGTTGACCAGGAGAAGGTGTAGCAAGGCAGAAGATGGCCTCGTCAGGAACCTCGAAGAGCATCAACATCTACAAAACGGGCAAAGATACAATCCTGAAAGCAGGCTGGGATGCCCTGGCAAGAGAGGTAGGCAGAAAGCAGAGGAGGGGGAGTTCCGGAAGGAACCAATGATGGATGGAAATAGTTCCAGAAGGAGAGGGTGTGAGCAGTGTCCCAGGCTAATGTCAGATTAAAATAAGGATGGAAAGTTCCCTTCGGTTTGGTTAAGATGTTGTTGGCGACCTTGACAAGAACAATTTCAGTAAGTTTACTTTCAACTTTAAGCCAAGAGATATTCCTCATACTATGAGTTTTATATAGCACAGCCTGAAACATAGAGAACTTTTCAATTTATTCTTCAAAACTCCCAAGTTGGGCAGAACAGTGTGCCTGATCCCAGTTATTCGTACGACACATGAATCCCTAATGACAGCAATGATTATGGGTACCCAAGGGGCTCAGCATGTGCCAGGCACTATTCTTAGGACCGTGACTGATTTAATCCTCACTCCAGTAATCACAAGAAAATGCCAACAAATTAAATTCATATTATACTAAGAATATTCTGTGAACATCCAGGAGTTCATGTTTAATTGTGAAATATTGGAAGATTCCTTTAAAAATACAATATAAACTGGTCATAGGAGAAAATTCCCCCAATTGTAATTTTCTAAAATTCAAGCAAGTCCTGATAAAACACTCACTGAAGCTTGGTAAAGAGTATCCACCTCAAAGAACTAGACCACACTTGGTGGTGAAATGTTGGTGTCTTTCCCATCTAGAGGGAAACAAGCAGGACTTATCTATTGTCCTTCTTTGCAGGTTTTGATTGAGATGAGAATGGGAGAAAGAGAGCTAAATGGGATAGACTTACCTATCAGAAGGAAGGATGACCATCCTACAGGGAGATGTTGGGAAAGCAAAGACTAAGAGAAGGAAGAGAGCTGGGTCAGGGGAGCGGCTACAGAAGGATAGACAGCTCTGTTTGGCTAAGATCTTCCATACAGCAAGCACTGCACTGGTCCTTAATAAATTGTTGCAGTGATGTTGACAGCCAGCCATGAGAGGGACTTTAAATAGAAGCCTACAGAAGCCAGCCGTGGAGGCAGAACTGAGACCCACATCTTACTTGAGTCTAAAACTAATACTCTTAATGACTACACGTGGCCACAATCTACCCTCACACGCACTGACTGCGCAGATCCATAAAGAGAGTTCCTAGATACTAGAGAAACTCTTAAAAAACATAATGCAGTAATAATCATATTCATGATGAAAACAGAAAACAGTGAGATATGTAGAAAACAAAAATGAAAACCAGAAAACTCCACACCAGTGTCATGAACACTACACACTCTCCAGGGGGACCTCAGGGAGAAGATGGGGCATTCATATAAAATCAACTAATTGTTTTCTCTAGCTGTAGGTTCAATGCAACTGAATTTTTAAAAAAAATTCCTAAGAATTAGGGGAATTGTATGTATGATTCACACATCACTTTACAGTGGGCCGCATTCGGAAATACGCATCGTTAGGCAATTTTGGTGGTTAAGTAAGCATTGCAAAACATGCTCACACAAACGCAGGCGGTCCAGCCCTCCACACCTAGGCTGTGTGTATATACTATTGTACATGGGGCCTCTGATTGATTGAACATTGTTATGTGGTTTCTGAGCATGAGCCTGTGTGTGTGTGTGTGTGTGTGTGTTTAATAGATCCTGCTGCAGTCAGGATGTCAGGGTGGTCTGTCTGTACGTAATGTGATAATGTAGCATGATGACAAAGTGTTAAAAATCTTAATATATAGTAACATATTTTTTACAAGTCAGAAGACCTATTCCCAATAGAAAAGAGTGCAGAAAGTATTAAGACATCCAAAAGAGCAAAATTAAAATGATCTGCAAATATAAGAAAATATTCATTGACCTCAGTGGGGAATGAAAAAGCCTAAGTTGAAATGACTGTGTGTTGCTGGAGGAAGCGTGAATTCATATGTCCTTCTGAGGAGTGATTGCACAGTATGTGTGCAAGGCCTTAAATATCAATCATGATTTTTGGTCCAGTAATTCTAATTCTTGGCATTTCCCAATTGAAGTAATTACAGTTATGCACAAAAGATAATTATTACTCTGATTTTTATAATAGTGAGAAATTAGGATCACATTAAATACCCAACATTAGGAAGTCATTTAAATAAATTATAGAACATGTCATAGAAAAATATGCAAGGATTTTAAATAATGCTATAAAAAGAATATGTAATAACCTGGAGGAAGTTTATGGTTGTACATTATTGTTAAATGGAATGAAGTAGGTTATATAACAGTGTGAATAGTATAGCTGAATAATTTTAAGTGTGTGTGTGTGTGTTTAAATCTGGAAGGATATGAGTAAAAATGTTCATCCTGATCATCTCTTAAACGGTGGGTTAATGGACAATTTTATTTTTACTATATGTTTAAAATTGTTCATGATTTCTTTTTAAAAAGTATAGTTTTGATAGAAAAATAGCAACAGATGTTCATAAAACACATATGCAAATAGAAAGATTAAAGAAACACACCTTCTTGTGTTCATTGTTGTTTGACAGGCGTGCAGGCAATTATTATTTTATTCTTTGTGTCTTTTTCTTTGATCAAGCATTAATTTTAAAGCCATAAAATTTGAACAAAAAACTTTAAAAATAAAGGAAGGGAGGACGAAGGAGAAAGAATAAAGGAATTAACTCTGAAAACAATGCTTTCCAGGGGCTGGGTTGTGGCTCAGCAGTAGAGCGTTCACCTAGCACGTGCGAGGCCCTGGGTTCAATCCTCAGCACCACATAAAATAATACATAAATAAAATAAAGGTATTATGTCCAACTACAACTAAAAACTAAATATTTTTTTAAAATGCTTTACAGTAGGGAAAGTGGTGAAGTGTATCATTCATTCACTCACTCGTTTTATAATGACTCATACTCTGTGCGAACCAGGCTGTTCTCAGTGGTGGGACCACAGAGTGGAACAGAATGAGCTCTGTTCCCCTGGACCTTATTGTGTAGTGAGGGAGCCTGGTGTTTAAAAAAAATGTGTGGATAACTAAATATGATTGCAAATTGTGAAAGTGCATTTTTCATAAGAACAAAGTTATGAGGACAAGATCATAGAAGGTTTATGTATGTAGGAATCTAAATATTTAAGAGACTGATTAAGAAAACCTGATACTTAGAAGAATAAATAGATGGAAAGGCATACTTGGGAAAGAGAAGAGAGGAAGAAGAGAAGGGAAATAGAATAAAGGTAGTTTATCACCTTCACAAGAAATTGCAATACGTTTGGTTGTTGAATATTTTGATATTTGAGAGTGAGAAGGCAGAAATGGCAAGATGATTATAATAATCCTGAAATCTTGAAATGTTATTCTAATGGGAAAACATAAAATTACTATGAATTCTAAATTTATGTGTGAATTAACTGATGTCAGTGGACCCTTAAATGGTTGCATCAACTCTTAGACAGGATCAGAGCCTTTTTCTTACCTGTGGAAGACTTTCTCGCTTGCTTTGGGGCCTGGACAGCAGACTCAAAGAGGATTTTTGTCTTTCAGCACTAAATGAACCCACCATAGACTATGGCTTCCAGAGGCTGCAGAAAGTCATCCCCAGGCATCCTGGAGATCCTGAGAGATTAGCTAAGGTAAAAATGCTTTGGAAATTGATGTATGAAAACCTTCTGTACAGTTTCAGCAAGTTTTGTCAGATCCAGCCATTTAAGTCCCATTAAAATTAATTAGGCCTTGCAATTAGCTAAGCTTCAGATATTAGATGAACATAAAATTCCTACTAAGATGAAATATATTCTGTTTAATCTCTGAGGATATATGAAATATGAAGATTTGGGCCTATAAAACAGATATGCTACAAGAATACTCGATTTATAAAACACTGCCAACTTCACAAAAATAAATATTTGCATAATTGCTTAAAAGTTTAAGCTTCCACTTGTTTGTATTTAAATGATTTTATTTGCCAGTAATTGCAGGTGCCCATCAATTCACAATCAAGTATTCATTGATGGCCAATTGTGTGCATAAGAACTTAATGAAGATAAAAGTGTCTCCATACAAAACTTCTGTGAAATGCATAATTTTTAAATGAACTTACTTATGGAAACTACATTTTACATCTGGCCCATGATGTTAGCTTTCTTCATTTAAAAAATACACCAACTTATTAGTTGTCATTCAACTAATGAGAAACTATTAAATTTTTGCCTTTATATTTGTCTTTTAAACACACACATTATGAAATGCCATGTTCTCTATTCTGTACTGTGAGTAAAACTCAAGCACTAGTTGCTTCTATTTTGCACCTTTATTTTCCTCCTGGAAAAATCCCCAGCCCCACCATTAAATTAGATGATATCTGGAAAGTAGGTTAATAGCAATTTAAAAGGCTGTAAAGAACAGGAGGTGGAAAAGACAAAATGAGAGGACAGGGATTCATGATTACTAATTCTCTCTGGTTAAACTGAACAGGGGGGAATATTATTGAAAGAATTCATCTTTATTAGGAGAGAATTTTGCAGAAGGCACTGCTAAGATAATTTCAGTACTTCGGACAACTCCTTGGCAGGCTGCTAAACTCAGGTCCATCAATCATCTTAAGAATGTTTGGTTAATTAGGTTACCAGACTTTTCCATACAGTGGTCTGCAAGAAGTTTCTAATAGAATTCCCATGACGTCAATTTTAACCAACTCCACCCTCAATGTGTGGTTGATTGTGCTTTGTTGGGGTAGCACGACCTTTAATGGAGCCATTTTATAGTGGTGAATTTCATGCAGGTCCCTATTTATAATCTATGATTATATTCAACCTCTTGGCTAATTATTTACATTTGGGGGGAATGTGTGGACTTTTAATTTTTATTTGTAATTTTCTTTTCTTTTTTTTGCCATGTGGGGTTTTGCTCTTGATGGTACCCCATGGTGTTAGTGACCAAAATACCTTACATAAACCAATTAAAGGAAGAAAGATTTACTTTGGCTCAGGGTTAACTGGTTCCATTGCTCTGAGCCTGAGGTGAGGCAGAAGGCTGTGGTGGAGGAAAGCTGCTCACGGGGAAGCAGGGAGAGGGAGAGAGGGAGAGAGACAGACAGACAGACAGACACACAGAGAGAAGAAGGGGTAGGTTCATGGCATGCTCCAGTGACGGGCTTCCTCGAACCAGGTCCCACCACCTGACGTTTCCGCCATCTTCCACTAATGTCATCAAATTATTAATCCATTAATGGATTGATTAATCACTGATGAAGTCAGAGCCCTCCTGGCCAAATTCTTCCCTAAAACCTGCCTCTGAATATTGCCGCATTTAGGGACCAAGACTTCAACACAGGGACCTTTGGGGGAGACTTTAGATACAAACCCTAACACCCAGCCTTTCTTTTCTTTTCCAGGAAATGCTGTTGAAAAGAGCTGCAGATCTAGTGGAGGCCCTCTACGGCACGCCCCACAATAACCAGGTGAGGAGCCTACAGCTTCTGCTCTGTCGACCTTGACTCTCTGCTACACCAAATGCTCACCCTGACCTGCCGTTTTGCAGGACATCATTCTGAAGCGAGCTGCAGACATTGCCGAAGCTCTCTACAGTGTCCCCCGGAATCCCAGCCAGATCCCAGCTCTCTCCAGCTCCCCAGCTCACAGCGGCATGATGGGAATCAATTCTTATGGCAGCCAGCTTGGGGTCAGCATCTCAGAGTCCACACAAGGGAATAACCAAGGTACCAGCTTTCTCAGAGTCAGAATCCAAATATGTCTTCTATGTTTAAAAGGTTGGTTCTGCTGGAGTAGAAGGAGGTAGAGCTTGAGTCCTGAACTATTCTTCAGTGTGGCCCCAGATAAGCAGAACTAACATACACTGGATTATTTCAAAAATTTAGGTGATATACTGTTAGATTCTGAGCTTTTATGTACCAGGTAGAATCCCTTTGCCTGGAAATATTTAAGAAGATTGACTACTATAAATATAGAATGATTTAGGCATATAGAAATGAGGTTTACAGATATTGATTGAATACCGTTTACACTTCTGCTATTATGATAATCAGGTGGAATAATGAAAAGAGGCTGATTATCACCATTATCATTTATTATGCCCAACTCTCTTTTTGGTAACCAAGAGTGAATGAGTTGGTTTTGTTGGGTAACTTCTGCAGTGCTTTACCTTAAATACCTACAAACTTATTGTCAACTGTACTTTTATGTGCAAAGTATATCAGGTAAAGACTTTTTCAGTGAAGTTGGTTTGATTATTAAAAGGCTAAACTATCATAAATTATTTTTTTAAGAGTAATTGTCCCTAATGACACCTGTAAGCTGGAGAGTTTTATTTCTAATTTTATTCATCCATTGGAAGAAAATGCCTCATTCTTTTGCCCAGAGTGAATTCTTAGGAAAAGAGGAGATAGAAGATAGTAGTTCTTCTTTTTCTTTTTTAGACATGGGACTCACGGACTAGGTATCAATTTTTATTCTTTCATTTGGTGAAAAATTTGGGTTGTTTTCTAGATAGTTTGAGACTGTTATCCCAAGTGTTTCATTTCAAAATAGGCTGAGTGATGTCTCTGTGCCGGGGCTTCAGAAGCATAGGGAAGACTCAGTGCCCCTCCCCGCTTCCCTCTCACGGATGGAATGTGCCACATTTAGTTGCTGATGTCTCAGAGTCCTGTGGCCAAAAACAGCCCGTTTGGATGAATGCATCAATACTTGTTGAATGAACATGATCCCTAACCCCACATAGGCCATGGTAACCACCTTGAGCTAACCTTGCTGGAACCATGTGCTGCAGAATACAAATGGCCCCATATGTGTTATTAGGGTGCCTTTCTCCCACCTCCAAAATATGCTATGGTGTATTAAATTGAGAAACAGTAGGTTAGCAAATTTGCTAAATTATTTATTCTCTAGGCTTTCTATATATGAATCCTCAAGATATGGTCATAGCACATACATCTGCCCAACTCGAACCCCAAATGCTCTTCTCAGTGATACCAATTCACATCTCCTCAGACTGTGGTGCCTCAGGAAATGCTCATGTCTTAGGACTCCCACAGCTCCTCAGCAGGGGCTGGAGATGCCAGCTGCAGATCTGAAAGAAGAAGGAGGGGGTAAGAGGGGCATGGACTTTTGTAGGATGGGGAAGAGATGGAGGGATAAGAGGACGAGGACTTGGTTAACCGGTACCAAAACCCAGAGAGAAGAGAGGAATAAGTTCTAGTATAAAACAGTTGGGTGACTAGAGTTAACACAGGTTTATTGTGTGTTTCAAAATAGCTGGAAGAAAGGATTTTGAATGCTTCTGACACAAATAAATGATAACTATTATGCCAGTTACCCTGATGTGGTCATTGTACATTATATGATATGTCAAAATGTCACACTGTCCCTTGTGATATGTACAATCATATGTGAATTCAAAAAGAAGAGCTGAAAATAAACTTCCACTTCCCCCTGCTGCCCAGGAGCACCTTGGTGACAGTCTGTGGCCCGGGGCCATCGTGGACCTGTGCTGGCCACGCTGGGCGCTACTGTGTAGACTGGTTGATTTACCTGGCCTCTTCCTTTGTTGTCAAGGATACATCCGCAACACAAGCAGCATCTCCCCGAGGGGATACTCCTCCAGCTCCACGCCTCAGCAGTCCAACTACAGTACCTCCAGTAACAGTATGAATGGCTACAGCAACGTCCCCATGGCCAACCTGGGCGTCCCGGGATCTCCAGGATTTCTGAATGGCTCACCCACAGGCTCCCCGTATGGAAGTAAGTCCCCTCGTCATCCGTCCTTCTCTCTGGGCCTCTCTGGCTCGGTGTTTGACTGGGCCGTCTTTGGGGGGAAGGCTGTACCCTTCCATCTGACTGTCTCAGGGGGAAGTCGCCCCACTTCCTGATGAAATGTCCTGCTCGCCTTTGGTTTCCCTTAGCTGGATTATGACCAGCTGGGTCACTCCAGGCCTTCTGGGGAAAGAAAGAGGCGAAACAATTACAGAGACCGCGTCTGTGTGACGTAGGTCCACAGGAAGGAGGAATTAAGAGTCCATTTCAGTTAGCAATATGTGCCTTCCTCATTAGTCACTTTGAGAGCCAATATTTATATCTCATCTTCAGGAGAATTTTCTAGGTGGATGTTATCTCCGTATGATAGGTAAGGAATTGGAGTGCCCAGCAGTTAGCCTGCTTACACAAGATCACACAGCTAGGGTGCAGCAGGGCAATAATTGGGGCATGGGATCCATGGTTTCAAGTTATTTTGTCACATGGTGCTCTGCTTTTCCTGTGTGAGGTGGCTCTTCCTCCATGAGACACCTCCAGAGAGGTGCAAGTTGACTGTGGGCAACAGTGTGGTGTATTGAGACAGAACCTCTTAATCTTAATCTAGGGTCTGACAGCGAAGCCAACCCTCTGGGAAGTTGTGAAAACCCATTGGGTTGCTTTGGGAGCTAAGTTGGGACCTTGCACAATGGTCCCAGGGGCCTGAGAGGGTATGTTTTTCAAACCTACTTAGGGAATACATTAGGCCAGGGCCACGCGGACGTGGAGAGTCTGAGTGATTGACGTGCCGGGGGTTGTCGCAAGCCCAGTAGCTCACCCTCTTTTCACCCAGAATGAATGGCTCCCTGGTGCCAGGAACAGGGACGTGTCAAGGGCAGAGCACAGCCATGTCCACCACGGCTCAGGAAGCGGCACCTCTCGGGGCTGCCTCTTGCAGCCTCTGGGCCTTTGGTTCCCAGGGGACACTCATGAGTTATTTCTGGATTGTGTGTTCCGTCCATGCACACGATACTCTACGCTGCCTAACGAGGACAGAGCACCCAGCAGCAGAGGGTGGCAGAGGTCACTTCTTTTAGCACAGCTAAATTTTTGTTACCGCAGAGGCAGGAGTTCCAGGTTGTGTCTCGTGAGATGGCCGAGATTTATTAGATTATCTAAGCCATTGGAGTATGGATGGATTGGTTTCCTTACTTATTGGGACCTTACCTTGTTCCCCAAGTGTTTGGGGGGAATCATAATAATCAAATTGATAAAAGTAGAAACTGATAAGAAGCTAAGATAGAGCTGGAGCTGGAAATGCAGCTCATAGAACATATTTGCTCAGTGGCAAAGTACGCGCAAGACCCTGGGTTCAGTCCTCAGTGCCACAAAAAAATGAAAAAATAAAGAAAAGAAAAAGAAACTGAGATAAAAGAAAAAAAAGAATAAGTTCAGCAAAATTAGATAACTCCAAGGGCCAGCATCGATGGCCTATAGTCCATGCAAGGGAACCATTAATTTGGTTCTGAATTTACAAAATACTATAGTGCAGAGAGGAATACTATTTGTAGAAGCTTTTGTGTCCACACATATTTTTTTTTAATATTTTAGTTGGACATAATACCTTTATTTATTTTTATGTGGTGCTGGGGATGGAACCCAGGGCCTTGCACGTGCTGGGTGACCTCTCTACCACTGAGCCACAACCCCAACTTGTGTTATCAAGTTGAACCACACAAAATTCCTTCCATGTTTGATCTCAAAATGGAAATTCCATATGGTTCGATCATTCATGTATGCATTAGGGTGAGCCACACGAAGTAGTTGTTTTTGTGGATAAAAATGGTCAGCTAACAATGCAGGGCGTAGTGTGGCGGTGGGCAGGCAGTGGGAAGGAGACAGGAGGAGCAGGGAGGGTAGAGAACAGATGAAGGAAAATGCCCGGAGATGGGGGGGCTCGTTGCATGATGCTCCTCAATATAATTTACCTGGGAGGGAGGAATTCCTCTCACCCCAGCAAGTGGCTGCATGGTTACTCAAGACCCCTGCTACAGGAAGAATAATGACACCCCAAACCTTTAAAGCACCTGCTAAAACAAGTCAGCATACACAAAAGAGGGAAAAGAGAAAGAGAAGCTGCCTTGCCCAGTGGGATCAGGGAAGGCCACAGCGGGCCACCTCCCAGCACCGAGGGCACTAGAGTGATCATTTGCACCTTCGTATCTGGAGAAAGGGTCTCCAGGAGTTGCAGACTGGGAGTGGGATTCCAAATAGTGAATTCGTTACAATCAAATTCCAAATTCCTCTACTGCAAAAATATCAAATGCCCACTGGAGTTCATCACAGTAGCACCTGCCTTGAGAGGTCTTCCCCTCTCTGCGAAAGAGGGAGAAAAAAAAAAAAAAACCCAGGGAAAACATTTCGTCAATTCAGTTGCTTGTGTCTGAAAACACGATCCTATGATTTCTCATTTAATGTTTTTAAACAAGCCTGATGCCCGATGTGGCTGGACCATGCTGTGGGGCAGTCACTTGCCAGAGACATTAAAAAAGAAATGGCATCAAGCCTCTTGGTCAAGTTCGACTTGCGTTACAGCCGGTGCAGAGAATCAGACTCAGAACTCTGCCTCCTTCCTGCGTTTGCCTTCACACTACTTCAAAAATGGCCAAACAGATGTTTTTTCAATTTTACACACAAACTTCACTTCCTGGCGGTAGCAGTGTGTGCCAAGTTCCAGCTCAGTGGAAGTTTTTATGGCTGAATTCGAAACCCCTGACAATAGGGGGTTATAATGAAATGCTGACAGACCCCTTAGCGCCAGCAAACTCAATGGCTCGATGCAAAGGAGGCTCTGTGCCTGGGGGGTTCCAGCTGAGGCCCTGCAAGCCAATCAATCCTTGGGAGAAGAAAAGTAGTTTTTCCCGAACTCTCCACATTCACATGGATTTCTGGGCCAGACCTGCTTGCCTTTAGTTTGGCCTCTCTCCATAGAGAGAGAGAGAGATGTCCGGAGAAATTCTCTCTTGGAAGTATGTGTGATCAACTTTCCTAAAATGGTAGGTCTGGTGTCCCCAAAGATTGATTTACTTAGCAAGTCTGCAACACCCAGGGGGCCATTTCTTCCAAAGCAGAATAGCCACTAAGCCAATCCAAAGTGTGGGACAGAATCCACCCAGGCAGGAGTCCAACCTGTCCTCAGAGATTCCTACCTCACTGAAAGCCCTACACTGTGCCCTGGGCTTCAATATTTTTTATATTATCAGAAATAAATATTAAGGCATTTTTCTGCCATAAAATATTAAATGTAGAACATATGCAGATAGTTTTTAAAAGAAAGCATACTTTCACCCCAAGAAAAGACCTCTTTTAATATTTTGATGTGTTTCTATCATGTTTCTTTAGAAAAGAAGAAAAAATCCTATTACAACAGTAACGTTCTCATTATAGACATTTAGAAAAGCTCATAAAGATGAAGAGAAGAAAAGCAAAACCACATCTCCATTTCTATGCAGGGATACCATTGTTAACTTTTAAAGTCCACCTTCCCAGTTGTGGACAGACACATTTTGAAAATTGAAGTGTTTGCTCCCATGCATGACTAATGAGATTCTGCCATCCCATCAATGGAAGGAGGCAGGCGAAAGGTGGCCAAATCACCAAAGTCACTCATACGGAGTTGGCCTTCATAAAATCAGTCAGGAATGCAGACCTCGGTCCTGAGAATGGAGTAAAAATATTAGAAGTGATGTTTGCTTTAAAAAAGTTTCTTATGATCATTATGTTCTTCTTGGAAGTTTGAGGTTTTAGTACTCCATTTCTCTCTCTTTTTTTTCTTTCTTTTGTATCAAAAGAGGTTAACAGACAGCTTTGTGTGCAAGCAGTAAGGTCTTAAATCAAAGAAGAAAATTACCATCATTCAGGAAAACTATTACTAATCCCTACTGCAAAGGACTGTATTACTTCTTATCTCTGAAACAGAGATTTTCCATTTTAAAGTTTCAGTAGCTTTAACTAGTTTCACCTACATCAGAAATAATACCTGTTCATTGTAGAAATTGAGAATAGGGACAAGTAAAAAGGAATGTTTTAAGAATATTCCCAATCTTGTCAGCTGGAGACACTATCATTAAAACTGGATGGACATCATATCCCTCTAGACTTTTGCAATACTTTTTAAAAAAATAACAGTGGGTTTGCTGTATATGTTGTTATAATTCACTTTTCTCTTTTCTTTTTTATTATAATCTGTTAAATATTCTTCACCAGCATTAGTCTTAAAGTTTGCATTCTGAAGCATGGACTTCAAATAATTTACCCTACTGTGGGTCACTTATTTAAGTTATCTTCCAGTTTTTCATTATAATAAAAATGCCCTGGGATCTATTTTTTTTGGCACATTCGTGATTATCTCCTTGGGATTCATTTCTAGAGATTAAATTAGTGGGTCAAAGGATGTGCACATTTGAAAATACTTTGCTAAGTATTGCCAAAGTCCCTTCAGAGAGGTTTCTCCCCTCAGAAAAGAGAAAGTGTATGCTTCCCTGCCCTGTTAATTTTTTCTTAATCTTTATCCACTTAATAAGTGGAAAATAACATCTCGTTACTGTTTTAATAAGCATTTTATTACTAATCCATCTCAGTGCTTCCGTACGGCCCTCCTGGTCTTTTTCATTCTCCTTTTTTGTGTTTTCTGCCCACTTTTCTATTAAGGTGTTTTTCTTTTTCTAAGTAATTCATAAAAAACGTATTAACTATCAAGGACATGAATACTTTTTTTGTCTTTTGCTGTGTGTGTGTGTGTGTGTGTGTGTGTGTGTTTACAGACATTTTTCATTATGTGGCAAATCTAGCTTGTGAACTCTGGAGTTGAAAAGATATGCAAATTATATATAACCCTCCTAATTTTTCTAGCATTTTTGTGGTTTTATTTTTACGAACACCTCTGATTGCCTTAGATTGTTGTTGAGCAAGAGGAAGTACTCTAAACTTGGTCTCCCAATGTTCAGTATTTCCATGCTTTCATTTCCCAACTATGTACTATGAAACGTCACCTGTATGAAGTTATCAATTCTAATACACAGCCATGCCTGTTTCTAGACTCTATTTTGCCCCAACTGTTGGTCTACCTTTCTTTGTTAGTATAACACTGACACAACTGATGTAGATTCATCACAGTTTTGAATATCTAAGGTCAGTATTCTCCTTCCTACTTAACAAAATTTTCTGAAAACTTAGCGAAACTTTCTGACTCTTACAATGTTGTTGTTGAAACATATCAGCATAGAAATCGTACTTACTGAAATATAAAAAGTAAATTTCCTTTTAGGATTTTCTGTTATAGTTCTATTAAATTTTAAATTAATTTGGATGGTCTTTGGCATTTTTACAAAAGTTTTATAAAAAGTATTTAAAATGTCCTGTGCTTATTCAACTCTGCAACAGTTATCTAAGTCATTTAGAAAAGTGTGTGGTATATTCTCTTCCACTGAGAGGCAAACATATATGAGGTAATCACATTTTAGGCTGAGATCGGTTACGAGGTAAAAAGCATTTGTAAAAATGAGACGAGTGCTGGGTGGAAGTGGGATGGAGTATATGTAAATACCCAGCTCTTGTGGAAGGAAACTGCTCTGTCTCAGCGAAAGAAAGGAGCTTCTGCTATTGAGGATGCAGAAACCAAGGTGCCATTTTGGTGCATCAGGCACGCTGACTGCAGACAGAATTGGGGCCTCCTGAGCCCCAGCTTTTCTTTGGCCTCTACTTCCGCATCTTAAAGAAAGAGGATAATTGTGGGTTTTTTTTGTTGTTGTTGTTTGTTTGTTTGTTTTTCTATTTTATTGATGCTAAACCCAAGGAGCTCTTGCTTGGAATTATGACTAATACCTACTCCCATGCTTAATCCAACATCCTCTCTTATGCATTTACATTGTCAAGTATTAGGTGAGCTTCTTCCAGAACTCTGTTATCCTGTCCAGTTTTTTTCTTTTTATTTCTATTATTTGAAAAAAGACAGATAGGGCTGGGGATATAGCTCAGTTGGTAGAGTGCTTGCTAGAGCGCTTGCCTTGCATGCACAAGGCCCTGGGTTCATTCCCCAGTACCACATAAAATAAAATAAAATAAAATAAAAAGATATACTCAGATACTTCCTTCTCCATAGCTCTAAATCAGGATTACCTAAAGATAAGAGATTTTTAGAGAAAGCTCTTCTTTAAAAAAAAAAAAATAAGTTTAATTTAAAATTGTAGAAGAAACCTCTAGCATGGTGTCTGCTATAAAAGACACCATGCTAGAGGTTTCTTCTACAATTGTTTTAAATATGCAATCGAGTGAATGTAGTATGAAGTATAATTTATAGAGAGGGAAAATGGGGGTAGAATCTACCACCGGATGTCAAAATGTTTGACCTTCAAGTCACCTTGCTTTTTTTTTTTTAACCCTTGTGAACTCTACCCCTTTTTTAGCAACTGGAACATAGTAAGTAAAAATATCTTCTTGTATGGCGCAAATTGGTGGAGTATCTGACATTAAGAGGTGGGTACTTCACGGTGTAAATTGCCTTTCTTTTTCTTTGAAATCATAACACTTAGCTTTCGGCTTCCCTTGAGTCATTTTAATGTTAATATTGTTAATATTGGTGTTTTTTTCTAAACTTTATGTCAGGGGAGGCTGACTCGAAGCCTTATTTCCCAGGAGAGCCACGAGTCCAGGGAGAGAGAGAGGCAATCTTCTAAATGTTAATAAACTCTTACATGTAATGAGGAAGTAGCCCACAGAGATGGCACTCTCAAGAAGACGTGAACCCCAACATCTAACCCCTGGGGCCCTGGGAGTGGCCAGGGAGGCATAGCTCTCAGACCAGGCTCCTTTTTGAGGAGAAGGAGAGGTCTCCAAGGCTGGGTAGATTTGATGATTTTTTTTTAGGTGTGGTGGTCTTAGTCTTCTCTTGCCAAGTTTCTGTTCATGAATGACAAGCTGTCACAACGTCGTCTCCTGTGACATCTTCTGTGTTAGTCAGCTTTTGCGTGGCCATGACCGATAAACCTGAAAATGTAGAGGAGGAAAGATTTATTTTGGCCCCTGGTTTCCGAGGTACAGAACACGGTCAGCCGGCTGCATTGCTCTCAGCCTGAGGTGAGGCAGATCATCAAGGCCCATGGGTGTGGTGGAGGAGAGCAGCTCAAGACATGGCAACCAGGAAGCAGAGCGAGCTGGAAAAGATATAAACCCCAAAGGCCTGCCCCCAGTGACCCACTTCCTGCAGCCACACCCTACCTCCTACATTAAACCATATCAGTGGATTGATGCTTTGAGTAGGTCACAGCTCGTATAATCTAATAATTTCACCTCTGAAAATTCTTGCTTTGTTTCACACACGAGCTTTTGGGGGACACCTCCTATCTAAACCATGACACCCTCCCTCACCCCCAACACAGAAAGCACCTGCCTTCTGCATCTCAGTATGATCCTGTGTGTCCCTTTAACAGGATCATGACCATGTGGCTGTTCCTCTCACTGGCTGCGGGGGAGTGTTGTCACATTCAACTTGTTTTTTAATCCTTGGAATCCAGAACAATGCCTGGAAGTTCATAATTTCTCAACAAGAGTGTGCAGGATGAGTGTACGGAAGGACTCACTCTCTAGACGAGTCTTTCTAACGAGGGTTGTGCGTTTGCTTCCAGTCATGTCATCGAGTCCCACCGTGGGATCCTCCAGCACGTCCTCCATCCTACCATTTTCCTCTTCAGTTTTTCCTGCTGTCAAACAGAAGAGTGCCTTTGCCCCTGTCATCAGGCCCCAAGGCTCCCCTTCGCCCGCCTGCTCCAGTGGCAATGGAAATGGATTCAGAGGTGAGTGAGGGTTCGGCTTTAGGTGTGTGTACCACACAGGTGCTGCCATGCCTGAAAGCAAGAGCAAACCGCACGACATCATTCCTAGCTCCAGCTGTTCACCTGTAGAGAGGTGCTTTGGTGTTTTCATCACGAGTCATGAACGGCTTGTGCAACTGCGCTGGTACTCCAGGTAAAAGCAAGGTGTGGGTGGTGGGTGGAAGGCAGAGAAGTCAGCAAACTGCAGGTTGCTCAGTTCACTGAGAACCACACCTATAATCCAAGGGGGTCTGGAATCTCTAGCACTACTGTCCGTGAGCTGTTGCAGTGTGTCTGGAAGGTGCCTGGTTACGCCACCCCGCCTGATGCCATGCAGGGATTGCGCCTTCCTAAGTGGCTTGCCATCTGCAGCGCACAGATCTTCTAGCGGCACACGTGGAAGGGTCCATCAGGAACAACCAGGAAGCTCCGGGAATGCTGGTTACATGCTAGCCAAATTGATAGCAGGTGCCCGCCGATCAGGGGTGGTGTAGGGAAGAAAGAGTTAAAGACATACTGTTTCTAAGAACAAAAATTAATCTCACCTGTCAAACCCACTTTTGAGCAATGTCCTAAAACATAATATGACGTGACGTAACACAAATGCGATGAGTACATGAGAATCCAATCATCCCATCTCGAGTAGGAGGCAGCCGATAGCAAGAAGCAAATTGGAAACTGCTGTGCACAATGGGTCACCGTAGTTTTCAGGCAGTTCCTCGTGTCTTGACATGACAACATTCAGGACAGGCAGGTGGGGTGAAACCAGAGAGTGACGTTCCGTTAACCCCTTGAGCATCCAAGTCTTGAGGCGAGCAGAGCTCAGTGGGGACCTGGGGTGCACTGACCCATGCAGGAGATGGCAGCTCCTGGGGCTGCATAAAAGCACGTGGGTACCAGTCCTGTAGGGACCAGGGAGGCTCCTTCTCCATCAGTGGCTGAGAAAGGAGTTGAGAGGTAATTTAGGTTCCTGTCCCATCCTAAGGCTCGCGAGGATGATGTGTCCTCCAACTCAAGGGTCTTGACAGAGAAATTCAAAATCAGAACCCAAACTGAAAATCCTGCACGTGTAGCTAGACCAAGCAGCTGGGACCCCGTGCCACCCAACATGGGGATAGTTGGCACATTGGAATTTATTTTATGGAAATATCTCTGTTTTGTTTTCTCCCATGTGTCTAAGCCTTAGAGAAACAGCTCGGGCTGTAGCTAAGTGTCCCCACCTGCCCGTCTCTCTTCAAAGGCTGTGGTCTGCACCCTGTCATGGGGGGTTGTGCCAGACCTAGTCCAGGATGGCTGCATCTCCAGATGGAAACAAAACTATTGCTGAATGTTCCCCCTTCCCCACAACCACTTCAGAGATGAAGCCCTCTGAGTTCTTGGGCTTTATTTACAGACTTTAAACCGAGTGGGGAAAACCCAGAATGGGAAGGACAGGAGAGGCCAAGAGTGAGCACAGGCTTTCCTCCACATTGGCATGGGAGGGAGACAGGAAGCATAGCCCTGCCCTGCTTTCTCTGAATTTGCAATTCAGCAAATGTGCTCGGCCTTACCTGAAGGGAAAAAGTGTCAAGAGGTCCCACTTGCAAGCCTCCCCCACCTCCTCTCACGCGTGTGCTGAGTTTGGTGCATAGAGTTGGCTGTGGCCAATGTCCATCTGGTCTCTTCTACCCAGGGAGACTCACCTGCAGGGCAGGAGCAGCCCCAGCAGGGTCCACGGCCACACACTGCCTGTCACTGGGGTCAGAAGGCTCATCCTGGGAGAGTGGCCAAGCTCCACGTTTGGATTATTTCTGTAGGGGAGACAACTTAGCTAGCCGGCTAGGCTTAGGCACAGCTCTAGGTTTTGGGCTTCGTTTCTTTAGAATCTCTTTGAAGTCCCAGATCTCTTTGGCATCCGACAGCTTCCTCCCAATTCCCTGGTGATTTGAACCTGAAAAAGAAAAAGAAGGAGGAGGAAGAGAGGGAAAAGGAAAAAATACCTGTCAATTAAAGGTTGTTGCCTTAAAACTAATCACAAAGAACTATGAGAACCAGCAGTAAGGAGAAATAAAAGTGAATTCTGAGTATTAATGATGGAATGAGTGCGTGACTGCCTCTGGCTCACCCCCATTTTGGACCAGGTGAATGGAGGCCCAGTATCCAGCAACATAGGTACCTGTCGGTATGGAGAGGCAGGAGACCAAGCTGACCTTGAATGCACCGTCCATGGGCACTGTATGAACAAATCCTGGAACCTCAGAGCCTCATAAGCTGGGGTCTCCATCTTTTTAGAGACAGGGGAGAGAGAAATATGGGCCAAGGTGCCCTTGAGGGGCTCTTCTCTAGACAATGGTGAGGTGACATATCTTAATTGTCAACAGAGGCGCTGCTGTCAACACTCCCTATGACTTGTGCTGAGTATGAGGGGCTGACGGAGTGCCCTGCATAAATTACCTCCTTCAAGTCACACCATGATCATCATTTTTAGTTAAGTAGCTTGCTGAGGTCACAGGACCAGTGATGGGTGACTTGAACACAGAGGTTGGGACTCCAGAGCCTAGGTGCTGACAGTCCCTGTCTGCCCAGGGTAGTCGTAATGAAATTCCTCTTTGCCCTTCACCTTTCACTCATATCTACTTGCCACTTGGACCAAAGGGAGATTATTGCTTTCTCATGAAATGCCAAAGTTAAAGAGGAAATGGACGTCAGCACAGCCAACAGCATATCTCCCCACCAGTGAAAATGCTCGCTGCTTCTCCAGATTCTATCTTCCTTAAAAAGCCAAGGTCTCCTTCTAGCCAAGATCCAGAGTTGGATGCAGGGCTAGCAAGAAGGGCATTGGCCCCCTTTCAAACGCTCCTTTGGTCCCTCTCTAAGACCCAGAAAAAAGGAAGGGGCTGAGAAGTTTTAAATGACAAAGAAAGAGAAAAGTGAGAATGTGAGTCGGAATCTTACTGCCAAAGAGCTCTCCACGCGCACTTCTTGTTCCCATTCTGCCTTATTTATCAGGCATTTACAGTTGATAAGTATAGATTGTCAGGATAATATTATACACTGTGTGTCTGATTCATTTTCCAGTTCCCTCCAGGAAAAAAAAAAAAAAAAGAACCCGCCTACACTCTGGGATAATTACTCGAGTTGCTATATCCCCAAATCATCGGGGAGTGTCCAGAATTGAACCGCCTTTATTGAAAAGTTACATCGATTCAATATATAGTAATACAGGCAAAAATAATTAAGGCTTTGCTAGCTGTGTAAGACCTTAATCCAGATCTCACAAACATTCAATAAAGCCTGTATGGGCAGGGAAATAGACGGCTGACAATTTTGCCTGAGAGGACTAGCCGGGATGGAGCAAAGGGGCAGCAGGAGGCAGAGAAATAGAGAGAGAGGGAAGAAGAGGAAAAATAAAAGAAAGAGTTGGCAGATTGGGCAAGAAGATTGTCCATCATTTCCCCCATCCGCTTAGTAGGCACCGCTCAACCAAATGCTCCTATGCAATTTGCTATTGTACATGGGAGAAATCACAGAATCAAATACTAGATTACATTTAGAAGTTTGGTTGCAGGGAAACCTATTCTGCCATTTTCCAAGAATGTGATGATTTAGGACTTGTCATGTCAAAGCCAAAACCAGAGGAATAGGTTTCCCTGGTGATTTTTTTTTTAACATCTTGCTTGTGCCACTTTATTTCCCAGGTCAAGGGGAAACCTGGGACTTGATTCCACCCAGACAGGTATCGGTAGCATCCTCTTGGCTAGATGGAGGAGGCCCTGGATATTGCACTTGGACAGGGCTTGAGGAGTGGGGACTGGGGGCACCCTGAGTTAGGAACTAAATTAAGTCTTTTATTCCAGTCACCAGAATCCAGAAGTGAATGGAGTCACACATCAGCAGTGAGCACCAAAGGAAAATGAGCTCCTTAAGGAAAAAACAAACAAACAATCAAAGCACTAAACAGGCGTAGTCTAGAATGGCTATAAAGCTATATCCCCAACCCTAAGACATGTAGGATGGATAGAAAGCTGGGTCTGCTGTAAGTCATGCCTAATAAGTCAACAGGCTCAACAGCTGGAGTTTCCCATTGAGGGAATTTGGAACAGTATCATCTGGAAATTATTTTAGTCTAATAATAAAAAATATAGCTCACATAGATTGCATTTTGGTTTACATGTTTAGCATCTCATTTATACAACCCAGTAATATAAAGCAAAATGTGACACTTGGCCCTGTAAGAAAAACTCCACAGTGATCCCTTAAGGCTTCTGTCTGTTAGCCCAAACCTGGAGAAAAAGGGTTCACATACAGCCGAGGGCACCAGCTCCCTGGTTGGCTTCAGACTCTGTCATTCCCAGCCCCTGCTCTCTCTCTGTGCAAATAAGCTTACACATAAAAGCCTGCCAGTCTCATTCCTGTGCCACTCTCTCCTTGCAGCCATGACGGGACTTGTCGTGCCCCCCATGTAAAGAGGAGGAAGAACTGCTTTCTCATAGCACAAAACTACTTACTCTGATGGACCAATAATGAGGAAAGCACTCTGAGCTCTTTGGGGAGCGTTGTGCCCCCAGTGGACGTGATGGACAGATTTGGGAATGCAAGGAGCCACCATCTTACCTGGTCTCCCGTGTCTCCTGTAGCTCTGATGGTAGCTACACAAACTGACCCTCTTAGGGACAAGGACAAAAGATGTCATTGACGTAGTCAGTGCTAAGAGCAGAAATGCAATTCTTTGTTATGAACATTATGAAAACCACCTTCCTATGTTTGTAAAATATTTAAGAAAAAAAATTGGCAAAACAATTCATGCTTAATATTTTGGATACTATTTGTTTTTCTTTGTAGGAAAAAAAAATGTTGAAAGTTTCTATTTTCTATGAAGCCTTTCAGATACCAATTTAGTTTATGCAGAAAAAAAAATTGAACAAAACAGGGTACCAGCATGGAAGACTTTCTTAAAATGAAACCTGAATTGAATGATGAAATGTATGTGTGTTTGCTTATAGTTTAATCTCTTTAAAAAAAAACAAAAAAGGGAAAAAATTTTAAAATGTTTTACAATTATTTAAATAAATAAACGTGTAACTTATTGTAAGTAGAGGTAGAAATTAAGACCTTTTTTTTTCTGGAAGAGAGAAGAGTTTCTCTTTCTGATGTAAAATGAAGATGATGCAAACATGTAGTAACAAGTTTTAAAAGTGTGTGATTATTACTACAGTTACTTCCTAGACTCTTACCCTTCAGCCTGCATCCCCCTCTTTTTCCATCATTTTATTGACCCATGGCAAGAACATGTAACTTACATGGATTCCTACAGAATAACCCACTGCAAAAACCAAGACTCAAGTACATGCACTACACACACGCTCTAATGCTTCCTGTCATTCCCAGCTCCATCTGCTTTCTTAAGTGGTCTACACATCCCTTTTGGTATTCACCCTTTTGTGAATAGTTCCTTAAAATCCATCTGAGCTTTTAACATTCTCCCCTGAACAATGGAGAGAATCCCCTGTTCTCATATCTCTTGGAGCATCCCAAGGGAAGAAGCGTATCACCTTCAAGAAGAGCCAAAGCCACAGACTTTGCTAACCAAGGGCCCCTTTGGAATTCTTCATCCCCAGAGCCACACACTTCCTCCTCTTTGGTGGCCTGATACTCAGTACAGAGGCATAAAGCCCCACAGAAATTCAGAAACAGAGTTTGGAGATGATGACTCTTTCTTGAACTCTCAGGATCAGTCTAAGAGTGGCCAAGTCCTTGACTCTGTCTACAGACTTCCTCTTTTACGTTATTAAACTCTCTTGAAAAGAATATGTAATCCACTTGACACTGTTTTCAGATGAGAGTGGGATGAGATGTGGAAGAGAAATGTGAACATCCCTAAGCCTCTCTCCTGATGTTCAAAGCCATGGAAATCGGGATTCTTGGGAGATTCAGAGATCAGGGCCACCCGTGCTGTAAACAGTGCAGTGACTCTGCCCTGGATGGGCTCTTTGTAGTCCCGGGACTAGCTCTTAGGGAGGAAACCTTGCAGTAGCTGCTAAAAGAGGTAGGTTCTGGAAAGCCCGAGTGGCCCTGGAGATGCGTCCAGGTGTGCTTGGATTGCTGACAATGCTGTATCATCTTTTCCACTTGGGGTTCTCTTTTTGACTCCCTGGCACCACAGTAGCATCTATACAAAGACTTAATTTTGGGTTCTTGGTTGAGGTTCTAACATTAGGAATTAATGCAGCTATCATGGAAAAACACCCTTAGGATATCTGAGCCAATTTTTAGATGACCTCTTTGCCCCCACACGCCCAACCCCCGACATCTTGTTTGCCTTTAGCTCACTCTGGAATTATCCAATATAACCTATACTTTTTCTATGCACATTGAGAATCCAAGGTTTTGGAAGTGTGGCATGCTTATAACTGCTGCTGACAGGCCTCGCAGTCAGGGCTCCAAGCGCCAAAACACACGGAAACATAGGAGAAAATGTTCCCCAGCGAAAAATTCGAGGGAAGGGGAAGAATGTATGGAAGACAAACATTACCATCCAAAAGTGAAGGCAGAACAAATTTAAGCATGTTCGGACCTGGATTTGAGCCAATCCAACATAAGGAAATGTTTTTTTAAGTAGCATTGCTTTTAGAACCTGTGAATCTTGCTCCTGCATGAAGATGAGTACAGTACTGTCTTCAAAATGATTGTAGAATTGTTGGTAGCTTTACACGGAAAAATGTGTAACTAAATACCTGACATCCTTGACCATTCAGCTAGAACCTTGGCAGCAACAGGTCTATTTAATTGTACAAATGTGTGTAAGGATTATTTTTAGTGTACTAATAAATTAAAAACAGAGCTACACTGTCCTCCTTCATTATTGTTATTGAATCATCTGGTCCCAGGTTATTTTTGTGCCACTTGGAATATGAGTATTTCTATAGGTAACTACAAAATTCTAACCTATCTTGATGAGAGGAGCTGTGTACGATTTTTTTTTCATTTAAAGGGACAATTTACTTCCTTATTTATCTCATGTTTTTGTTAGAGCATCGAAATTCTTCCCAGTTTTTCTTTGCACATTTCAATATGCATGGTTTAACAACCATTATCTTCTCTACCTTTTGTACAGTATGGCTTCATTTTCAAACTGTATAGTTTTACTTTATTGTTTTGCTTTGTCAGTTATATACAGCATAAAGTTGCTATGCACAGAGCTTTTTGTAAAGACGGCTTTTTTGTTTACTGTTTTTAATGGTCTTACTTATGAAAGAATATCTTGTTTGTAAAATGAATATGTCTACTTCAGTTTTAAACTTTAAATTATCCTAACAAAAAAAAATAAAATTTTTGTACTGTAAAAATTGGACTTTGGCTTTGTTTCCTTTTTTTTTGTTTTGTTTCTTTAAGAGAAATTTAATTTGGGATTTGTTCTTGACTTGCGGGGGGGCGGTGTTCCTTATAACTGCTGGTCTCTTGAATTTTCCTTGAGGAAATTTTTTTTTTTTTTTAGAGAGAGAGAGAGAGAATTTTTTAATATTTATTTTTTATTTATCAGTGGACACAACATCTTTGTTTGTATGTGGTGCTGAGGATCGAACCCGGGTGGCACGCATGCCAGGCGAGCGCGCTACCGCTTGAGCCACATCCCCAGCCCTTGAGGAAATTTTATACAACTTTTATCTATGAGGAAAGTGCACTGTGGTGCTTACCTGGAGGAGAGCTTTTGAATGACTTGTCAATTCTCTGTATTAATCTGGTCAAATTCTTCCATAAAAACCCTTGAACTCCAAAGACCCCCTTTGCCCTGTTGGCTGTTGGCTCTTGGAGTTCTTAAGCACCTGGGCCATCTACTTAAAGCTGCTGAACACGTGCTATAAGCTGATCCTTAGACATGGGTGGAGAACTGGAGGGGACGGACTCGTTGCCTGTTCTCAAATTTAGGAAAGGGGCGTAGCAGGTGCCCACGGAAGGAAGGGATGCATAGGGGACAGCTCAACGGGAAGACACAGGGGCTGAAGCCATCACAGAGGGCTGCGGTGGTCAGAGGGGTGTCCATGGAGGAGGCTGGGCTGCTCAGGGCCACCCAAAGGACCGGGTATTTTGTGGCAGTGACTGTCCCAGGTGGGAAGGACAACCTGACCAGGGACGTGTAAAGGGAACTGCACAAAACGCACTTAGAATCATTTGATCCTAAATGTGATTTTCAACCAGAATATTCACAGGTTTAAATGGATTGGCTCATTTCTCCCCATGAGGCTCAGAGACCTTCAACCCCCACACATCACCTTCCTTATGTAAGTGAACGAGCTGTGTTTCCAAACGGGGACAACTTTTATCTATGTGGAGGGCTTTCGCTCCTCCCTGAAGACTGGCTCCTCCTCCCCCAGAGGTCGGCAAGGCTGGTAGGTGTCCCCCCTTTGGGCCTGGTGGGCTGTCCCCCTTCAGGCCTGGTCCAGGGTCGGCTTCCCAGGGGCCTTTTGCTGAACTCCTTGGTCTCTGTAGCTGGATGTCCGTGTCCTGGTCATCATCTGTATCATTTGTTTGGTTCTCCGTCGGTTCTGCCCCTTTACACAGGAGGCCCAGCAGCGCAGGGACTGCACCATCTCAGTTCTGGGTGGAAACCTGAGCCCGGTGCCTGAGTTCTCTGCAGCCCCTGGAGAGGAGTGAGTGAGCAGGTTTGGTGCCAACCCCCGGGTGCTGTCCCTAATCTGTCTCAAATGGCATCACTCTCAGAATTACTTCTTAGGGACCTCCGTGTCAGTCACTCATCAGACATATTGTGAAGTTTGTCTACAGTGTAATGTGACTGCTGCTTACTAAACAGGGGAGCCGGCACGGGAGGGAGGTGAAGAAACGCTCTGGCTCAGCCCTGGGGCAGGTTGCTTGGCCCCTGGGCTTTGGAACTTAACCCATGTGGGTTCCCTTGCTGAGATCTAACTCCAGAACCAGAACTGAGCCTCTTAGGAAGGAGTCCATCGGGCCATTCCAGTTCCAGATAACTTGTCAACCACCCACTTGAATCTCAAAGGGCTTACGGTACATGCACCGGCACCAAGAGGTTCTGAGTGGCTGTGGGGCGTTCGTGGGAAGGTGCTGAGACTCAGAACTTCAAGAATTAATGGAGACTAAGTTCCAAAGCACCTGGTTCACCAGGCCAAGAAGTTTACTTTCTCCATAGGCCTGCTCTGCAGATAACGGAAGGCTACTAAAGGAACCTGGGTCCAGGAGTGACTCTGTCCACTTGGTGCTGGAGAAGAATCACAGGAACTCCAGTGTGGGTCATGGATCGGAGTAGTGGGTATGGAGGCAGGGATGGAAAGTGGATTAGCCCGTGTGCTGAACCACTGGGATGAATGGCTTCTGATTGGACAGCTCAGCTATCATACCAATTTCTCCTGCCCTTAGGGGACTATTGCAGTAGCCTAGACAGGAATGTCTCCTTCCTGAATTATGGCTTGGCCATAGAGATGGAAAGTAGGAGGAGGATCAAAGAGACCTTCTGGGCTGTGTGTGGTGGCACACGCCTGTAATCCCAGTGACTCGGGAGGCTGAGGCAGGAGGATCACATCTAGAATCACTCCCAATTTATAGATTAGATAGATTTTGTGATATCCTGAACCCAAGCCTCAAGCACAAAGAGACCAGGCTGATAGGGAATGAAGTACACAATGATTTTAAATTGGGACAAACCTGCTACCATTTGTCGGTTCCTTTCTTGGTTATATGAAGAGATTATTTCTCATTAGTTTTTCAAACAGGATTAAGGAGAATTCTATTCCTTGTCTTATGCATATAAAAATTGATTGCATACTCTCTCAATCTCTTTTTTTTATATTAGGGACTGAACCCAGGAGCTACACATCCTTAATGTACCACTGAGCTACATCCCCAGCCTCTTTTATGCTTTATTTGGACACGGGGTCTCACGAGCTAAGTCCAGGCTGGCCTCCAATGTGAGATCCTCAGGCCTCAGCCTCCAGAATCCCTGGTGTATTACAGGTGTGTGGGGACCACACCCAGCTAATTGCTC